TAGTCTCATTGNAAGGCCACTGATAANCNNATTCCCATTATGTCAACCCACGAAGCTTTGGAATTGCAACAACAGCGTTTTAATGGATCAGGGATGTGAACCCTGAAGAAGCTACATACTAGAACGCTTAGGTGCAAAGCTTCCAGCAGTTCTGTATGCACGTGAAGAAGCAAGCGCACTGCAAGCATCCACAAGCGATAAGTCGTACCAGCCAGAAGCAGCGTACACAATGATCAACTGCTTTGCCTCAATCTATGGTAAAAAAACTTTGGTTTTGTGATTACACTCGCCTAAGAAATGGTCACACCATCAAAAAACTAAATAACGTTTCACAAACTGAGCCACCGTAGTGGGAAAGCTTCCTTCCATCATTCCCTCCCCCCCCCCCACTGGCAACAACTCACTCTGCTAAATACTTCGGAGTCCTCACAACAAAGGAAATTTACCTTCCAATTATGACGACTGCTGAATAGCATAAAATTGACGGATATGAAAAAGTGCAAGATACCTGTCCATCACTCCGCCCGCGTCTCCGTTGCGACCTCTATTAGGGAGCGAGTGAGTCGATCTCGTCGAAAAATACTACACATGGCGAAGCTTGTCGTGCTCTTTCAAAAACTAAAAACAATTGTTAAATATCGGTTCTGCTGGGGGTGGAGCAAGACATGGACTTATCTTGGGCAGTCGCACTTAGTCTATACTAATGCCGCCGTCAGGCTCCAATCTTTTAAGGATTAAAGGATAAAGCATTTGCCGTTGATCAATCCCTTTTTGGGATGCGGCACGCATTCTACTTCCATTTGTACATTCGTAGTGGCGTTTGAATGCGATGTGGCCTATACAATGACTTGCGGGGGCCAGCCGATGTACAAGTCAGTGTTTTTATCCTCCCAGACAAGTCTGGTACCAATTAACCGACCCCGGAGGGATGGAAGGCTTGGTTGGCCCGGGCGACTCACGACCCAGGATTTGATCCCGGACCGCTCGCGTGGTAAGCAGCGCCACTTGCCAAAACATCACTTCTGCTCCTCCAATTTCGAAAGGTAAATTAATTTTAGTCAATTATTCCATGAAGTGATCACCAAATTGTTCTGCACGCAAAAATAACGATCTACATTCTATTTAGGATAACGAGAAGAGCGTAGAGTGCAGATC